AAGAATAAAATCTCCTTTTTTTTTCTCCCTCTATATAGGAATTGTTATAAAAAAATGTTAACATTAAAGATCCATTGAGGATAGATCAATCTTTCTTTTGTCAGACGTAATTTATGAGTTCAAAGTCTTCTATGTCTTACCTTAAAGTACTTTTGTTTCGATTTGAATTAAAATCGATCTTATGAATATTATTATTTCGTAAAAAAATTATGTATATATTATTTTTCTAATTTGAAACTCCCTAAAAAAGAGGGGTTTGTATCTTTATAGAAATTATTGGTCTAATAAATTAAGATATTTGTTGCCCGAGTGATGATGTTTGATATGAGCCAATTGAAAGTTGTAACTACACAAGAGGGTGACCCATCCAATTCTCAATTTCTGAAGCCTTTGTTGTTGGAACTTGGGACCCTGCCGCATGCTCATCCTATGCAAATCCAACTGATTCCCTCTTCTATTTATGTTTTATGAAATCCTTAAGATTAAGTAAGTATCAAATACAAATATATCAACCAATTTAAAGGAATATTATATTTTAAAAGATATATAAATTCATTGATTAATCTAAATAATAAAAAGAGAATATTATTTATTTTAAAAAATTTATATTTTAGTAATTACATTTGTAATATATGTGTGTTACTATCATGCAGATAATTTCTTATTTTATTTAGTGATAGTGAATCGATCTGTTCTCCTAATACCAAACATGGAAAGCTTTCGAACAAACAAAACATTCGTCGTTCGAAAAAACAGTGTACAAATAATCACCCCTTCATAAAGAACGTCCATTGTTTTATCTCGGACCTTGGTATCTACCTTTGCCCCATTCTCTTTCAACTCTCATTCTCATCGATGAATAGATACTTGCTATATATGTTGTGGTGATTGTATTTGCCTAGAACATGAAAATTATGACCCATAATTTATTATTTTGATTAATTAAAATGATGACATGCACACACTTTTATCAATTTAAGGCACATTCATCGGTTGAACGTCTTCGTTGCTTCTCCCCATCATAGCCCTAAGTGATATCTCTAACAATAAATTTAGATACCATTTTCATATTTAATATTTGGGTACGCTTTTCATAAATACTTCAAACTAGTATATTACAATCATTCTTGACAAAAAAAAAAGAAGTTTAACAATACATTATCTTTCCTAAAAATAAGATAATCAATATCTTAGAAAATATTTAAAAATTAACAAGTTGCTCGCAAACTTATTAAGTTGAGTTGGACATTACTCAACTCAATTCGAATCGTTAAAGCCTTAAGTCAAACTCGAGTCTAAATCAAATCGAATCAAACATTAATCAATTTTAAACAAATCATTTTGAATTATTCACAAATTGCTCAATACAATTTTAAGCACATATTTATCATATTACGACGGTTACTATGAATTCTCTCTGGGCGCACGTTAGCAGGACTAATGGGTTCCTCCGAGATCTTCGCCATTGTTGATTCTCTTCCATTCTCTTGTATCTTTCGACTATTCTTGTTCGTTTTCTGTGGTTTTTATGGATACTTCAGCTTCAAATTTGGACTGGAGGAAGTTGTTTGGTGGCGTAGCGGATCAATCTTTGTCCTTCTTCCCGCCTGAGATTTTGGAGGGGGTTTTCACTGTTAAGCCTCCTCCTGTGGTGATCGATGAGGGAATAGCTGAGTGGAGTCATGCGGTGTGGGGCAATTCATCGGCGTTGCTCCCAATTTTGGCTCGATGCAAAGAATAGTTGAAATTCTTTGGGGGAAGTCTTCGGCAGTCAAGGTAAGTTTGGCTGGCCCTAGTCTCTATGCTTTCTCCTTTTCGAATGCTTCAATTCGGGATTGGGTGCTTGATAACGGGCCTTGGCACGTGCAAAACAAGCCATTATTGTTGAGGAAATGGGAGCCAAACATGCAGAAGCTTAATCTTAACCTCAGGAATATTCCAATTTGGGTGCAACTGTACGATGTACCATTGGAACTTTTCTCTAGGACTGGCCTAAGCTATATCGCGAGTGATGTGGGTCATCCTTTGTACATGGACTCTGTTACAGCATCCAAGCAGAGACTTGAGTATGCTAAAGTTTGTGTGGAAATAGGGGTTGATACTGTCATCCCTGAGGTTGTTCATGTGGCTTTAAAGGATGGCTCGATTGTGAAGATACGGGTGCATGTGCCTTGGTTACCTCAGGTCTGTTCTCATTGCAAGATATTTGGGCATTCTTCCAGTGCATGTTCTGCTAACCATAATGCTCCCTTAAGGAGCAAGGACACTCAGATTTGGAGGAGAAAAGTTGCTTCTGTTCCCTCTGTAATTGATGATAAGGACAAAAAGTTGTTAGCCATTGAGGGTCCTGATTCGAATCATGCTATTTCCTCTGGTTGCCCTATTGCAGAGAGCATTCCTGTAAGTGATGGAGGTTCTGAGGGCTTGGGATTGCAAGGTGGTGTTGCTGTTGAGGTGACTGTGGAAGCTTTACAAGAATACGTTGGGGGTTCTCCTCAGGAAGTTGTATTTCCAGATAGGGTTGTTGTGGATGGTAAAGAGGTAATTCAGTCTGTTACTACTGGTGTTAGTTCTGATACTATGATGCAGGCGAAAGAAGTTGTCGTTTCAGCTGAGGTTGTTGTGAGTGGTAGCAAGGTGCAACAGGTTGCTAGTGTTGGTGCTATGGTGCAGGCACAGGACGTTGTTGTTCCTACTGAGGTTGTTGTGGCTGATAAGAAGTTGCAGCACTCTGATAATGCTGGTGTAACAGTTAGTTTTATTCATGATCAGAATGGTGGTGAGTTTCCACCCCTCCAAGGCTCTATTCCAAAAAAGAAGTCCAAAGGGAGGAAGAAAGACAATTCTGGCTCGACCAGCAAGTTGGAGCAATTGGCTGGAGGGGTAGGAATTGAAGGTAGCAGAAAACCTAGAGCAGCTGCTTTGGGTGTTACGTTGCTTCTTAATGAGCTCAAAGCCAGAAAGAAAGATATGGTTGAGAAGGTTGCTGGAAATGGTGGTCCTGCTAATCTGGCTTCATGATTTTCTGCTTTTGGAACGTGAGGGGTATTAATAATCCCCTTAAATATGGAAAAGTGATGAGAAGATTGGAAAACTTAGGGGTAGATGTAGCTTGTTTTCTGGAAACTAGAGTTAGAAATTCTAATTTTGCTAAGGTGATTTCTGCTCTTACTGATAATTGGCACAGTGCTGCAAATTATGAGTTTACTGATGGGGGCAGAATTTGGATTCTGTGGAAGAGAAGTTTGTCTTTTTCTGTTATCAGTGGCTGTGACCAAGCCTTCTCTATTATAGGGGATTTGGCTGGCCATCGAGCAGTGATAACTGCGGTTTATGGAAGTAACAATGGCCAGCAGAGGAGAGTTCTTTGGGAGTATCTGAGATCCTTGGAGAGTGAGATTGGTTCAATCTCTTGGATTATTGGTGGGGATTTCAATGTAATCATTAATGGCCATGAGAGTTCAGATTTTCCTGATTTGAGTTCATATATTTCGGGTGATATGGAAGAGTTTCAAGGTTGCATTGAGGACCTGGAGGTGCAGGATCATCTTTTTGTGGGGCCTATTTTCACTTGGTCCAATAAACAAGAGGGATCATTCTTGGCCAGGAAACTTGACAGAATCTTGATTAATTCCCAGTGGTTACTTGACTTTCCAGAGTCATTTGTGAAATTCAAAGCTCCAGGAGTGTCTGATCATTGTCCTGGAATTATTTGGACACAAAAAGCTGCTCAGATCCATAGGCCAAAGCCTTTCAAGTTTTTCAATTGCTGGACTGCAAATGAGGGTTATTTAAGTAGTGTGATGAGTTCCTGGCAAGTCTTCAGTAGAGGAAATGCTATGCAGAGGTTGTTTTGCAAAATGAAAAGGCTGAAGCCAGTTCTAAAGGATCTTAATAAGAGGCATTACTATGATATTTCAGCTAGGGTTGTTACTAAGAGAGCTGAACTAGAGCATATTCAATTGTTCAATCTTGCTAATGCTAATCACTCTGGCATTGAGGAGGAAAGGCGAATCCAGGCTGATTTGGTTGGTCTTGAAATGGCAGAATTGGACTTCTTCAGGCAGAAAGCTAAGGTTCATTGGTTGCAGGAAGGGGATCTTTGCACCAAATTTTTTCACCTAAAAGTTGAATCTCGCAAGAAAATCAACACTATTAGACTAATCAAGAATGATGATGGACAGTTTCTTGAGACTTTTGATGGTATGGCAGCAGTCCTGCTGGAGTTTTACAATTCACTCATTGGTGCAGTTGATCCGCTGGTCAAAGGTTGTCAACAGGACTGGTTAAGAGACCTTTTGAGTTACTCTTTGCCTGCTGGTGCTGATAGAGTTCTGATTGGTGAGGTTTCAGACAAAGAAATTCAGGAGGCCTTGTTTAGGCAGGGGAAAGACAAGAGTCCAGGGCCAGATGGTTATACATCCTGGTTTTTCAAATCTGCCTGGGAGATTGTGAGTAAGGACTTCCTTCATGCTGTGAGGTACTTTTTTCAAACTTCTTATCTTCTGCCAGCTTTTAATGCAACCACAATAGTACTAGTGCCAAAATCCTTGAATGCCTGTATGGCAAGTGAATTTAGGCCTATTTCGTACTGTTCTATTGTTTATAAGACCATTACCAGGATCTTGGTTACTAGGCTAGGCCATTATTTTCCTGATATGATCTCTGCTAGTCAGTCTGCTTTTGTCAAGGGCAGAAGTATCACTGATAACACTTTGCTTGCTCAAGAAATTGTTAGAGGATATTCTATGAAGAATCTTTCTCCTAGATGTGCTATTAAGATAGACTTGAAGAAAGCATTTGATTTTATTAACTGGGATTTCCTGCTCAATGTTCTTGAAGCTATGGGTTTGCCTGCTAGATTCTGTGACTAGATTAAGATTTGTGTGACAACCCCTAGCTATTCAATTGCTTTGAATGGTAGTCTAGTGGGTTACTTCAAGGGTGCAAGGGGTGTTAGGCAAGGTGACCCTTTGTCTCCTTACCTATTTGTATTGGTCATGAATGTTCTTTCTAGATTACTGGATGCTGCAGCCAGAATTGGTATTTTCAAATATCACCCTAGATGTAAAAAGATCTCCCTTACCCATTTATGTTTTGCTGATGATTTGATGTTGTTCTGCTATGGTTCCTTGGATTCAGTGTTGGGGGTGGTTAGTGTTTTGAATAAATTCTATGAAATGTCTGGCTTAATGCTCAATGTTTCAAAGACTGAGATCTATACTTGTGGGGTAAATAATGGAGTTTTAGAGCAGATTAAGAGAGCCACTGGGTTTCGAATTGGTCATCTCCCAGTCAAATATTTGGGGGTGCCTCTAGTAACTCGTAAGCTCTCTAGAACAGATTGTTCTGCCCTTATAGAGAAAATCAGGGACAAGCTGAGGAAGTGGTCATGCAGAAAGCTAAGCTTTGGTGGCAGGTTGCAGCTTATCAAGACAGTTTTGTTTAGTGTTTTTAACTACTGGAGCAGGCAGTTTATACTGCCAAAGGGTGTGATTCAGGATATTGAACGGTTGTTCATGCGTTTCTTTTGGAAAGGAAGTGATTCCTCGGCTAGGGGTGCTAGAGTCAGTTGGTCTCAAATCTGTTCCCTGAGATCGGAGGGAGGCTTAGGCCTTCGAAGTCTGATTGGTTGGAATAAGACCTGATGTCTTATGCTTGTCAAGAGCATCTTAGCTGATGAGGGCTCTTTGTGGATAGCATGTATCAAAGCTTATTGCTTCAAACATAAGAATTACTGGAGTGTTGATCATAAGCCTCATTTCAGTTGGATTCTCAGAAAACTAATTAAGTTGCGAGAGGAGGCTAGTGTTCTTTTTGCTGCTCCTGTGGACTGGTCTCAGATTACAGGTGGGTGGATATGGGATAGAATTCGGGACAGAGGTGAAAAGGTTGATTGGCATCGGCTTGTTTGGTTTCCCTCACATGTTCCTAAGTTCTCGTTGATCGCGTGGATGGCTATCCTTGACAGGCTGCCCACTAAGGACAGGCTAGTTCGGTTTGGAGTGATGGCAGAACCTGGTTGTAGGTTGTGTATGAGTGGGCTTGAATCCAGGAATCATCTGTTCTGGGATTGTGCTTATTCGAGTGCTATCTCGAACTCTCTCTTGCTTGCTTGTGGGTTGCAGTTACATGGATCTAGTTGGGAGGATCACCTTGGTTGGATGATTAATAACTGGAAATGTAAGTCCCTGCTGATTCATGTTCTAAAATTAGCATGGACTGGATTCGTTTACTTTACTTGGGAGGAGCGGAATCATCGTATCTTTAGAGGTTTATCGCGTTCGACGTATTTAATTGTAAATATTATAAAAGAGGCAGTTAGAATTAAATTGTATAGATATAGAATGAATAGAGTGGATAGTGTAAATAGACAACTTTGCATTGATTGGGGGCTTACATAACTGGTTGTAATTGTTTTCTTTGTAGCAGTTTCCTGCTTTCTTTGGATTAATAAAATTGATTATCCAAAAAAAAAATTTAAGCACATCAAAATTAATAGACGCCTATTGTTTCACTAGAGTGAATTTATCTTTTTGAAAGTAGGACAAATTAAAGGAAGAAACAATGCCATAAAATTGCTTGACAAATATCAACCTTTTAACCATTAAGATATTGTTTGTTTTTAATGTATCAAATTTTACCATTTCTATATACACTATCTTTTTAGAACTTGAAAGTAGGATAAATTGAAAGAAGAAACGTCATAAAAATGTCAATAATCTTAGAATATGTGATTAAAAAATTTTAGTTGAGAACTTTCATCTATTTAAGTGTGGGTTCAATATTTATTATGATTGAAATTTCTTTTTCCTCTTCCTCTACGTAAGAATTATTCAAAAAAAGAAAAAAAAAGGGTTAAACTTAAGGATCTAACGAGAAGAGCTTAATATTTTCTTTGCCGAATGTAATATATGAATCTTACGTTTTCTATGTGTCATATCTTATCGTACATCTGTTTCGATTTGAACTAAAATCATTCTCGTAAATACAATTATTTTGTATTAAATTAATATATATTATTTTGGAACTCCTAAAAAGGTTGGTTTTTTAATCCTTATAGAAACTATTGGTCTAATAAATGAAGATATTTGTTGTCGGAGTGATGATGTTGATATGAACCAGTTGAAAATTGTAGCTACACAAGAGGGTGATTGTAAGACTCGACCAAGGAGTTACAACTAATTTAGATAGCCATACTAATCTCAGAAATAATTTACGGATGAAAATTTATTTAATAATCATTTTAAAATATTTATCAAATACGATATTAGAATAAATTCATGCCACAATTTAAAAAGGTTGAAAGCAAAAATTTAACCTCACACAATCTTGAAAGCAATAATGCAGATAGTCAGCCGATTGCGGGTACTATGGTCAGGGAGACAATCTGCAAGACAATTCATCTAAGAAGGCATGGTACCCGCAATCGAAGAATATTCCACTCTGTTGCATTGTAAAGAACTTATAATGGACCGGGATTTACACCGAGCACACCAAAAGTCAACTTTTCCAAAACAGGTTGGCAAAAGTTGCAGGGGCAAGACGAGAAAAAGGTTACTGGCCTGGGGAGTCCCTTCAAATACAACAAGAACAAGATGGCAAAGCGATAGCTGAAACTAGAGGCCATTGTTGACAAATTCAAGAAACAAACAGCTAAACTTTGGATAGTTTTTATCGATGGAGGGCTCCAATGGTGTTTCTGTTAGGGAACAGACTCATCAGAGAGTGAAAAGAGATGCATTCATTCGAGACTTCTTGGGACAAATACAAAAAGTAGCTTAGAGAGGCCGAAACGGTTCGAAAGGGCATTCAACTGGTGATAGAAGAAGGCGGAAGATGAATCAACCTGTCAGAAGTTATTCGGGGTCTAAAACAATATACCTTTAAAATGTTTTTTGTCTCTTAAGAAATAAAACTTTTGTCCCCAATAAGGATTATTTATAATAACAGACACATTTTTGGATCAATGTCTCGAACATTTCATGTATCATGCATTCCTGCATATTTCGCATGATTTTTCTCTTTTTCATTACCTTCACATGTCTCATAAAAAATGAGAACATTTTGATCCTATTCTCATGACTTACAAGGAACTTTACCAACAACTTTCGACTCTCATGTAGTGTCACCATATCCGGTAAAACCTCTGAAGCCTTCCTATCGCATGTGGTATGATGAGAACGCTCATTGCGAATATCATAGCGGTGTCCCAGGGCACACTATCGAGAACTACTCCGCATTCAAGAGAATCGTGCAGAAAATGCGTAACAAAAATTAGATCAACTTCAACAACTCGGGGGCATCCAAATAAGGAAGAAGATCATTTCATCATTTGCAGTATTTTGTTTGAATTTGTTTTTCTTCTTTTCTCAGTTCTTTTTTTTAAGGCGATTTAAATGAATTCATGCTACTTTAAAGATGGTGATCAATGAATCAAGTTTGTAGACTCGAAATTTGTTGAATATCAAATGAATTTAAAAACTCTATAAATGATTAGAGTTATAGATCTTTGACAAAGTAGCATGATTAAGCAAGGACTTTTAACCTTACCCAAGAAGATACGCTCAAACACCGTACCCTTTTCTTGCAAATAACCAATATAGCCTTCTCCTCTCATAAGGGAATGAAAAAGAGGCTTGGTATTTAGGTGTGTATAGGTGCGGACAACATGGAGCATTTTTTGCATATGACATTATTATACTTTTTGTTTAAGATGTTCAATGATGATCATGATCTTTACATATGAAATAGTCGAGTAGGTGAATCTAGCTTAGGTCAGTTGCTTGGAAATTGAACTCTAAAGATGAAATTTTTTACTTTCAACAAACACCTAGACTATAACAGGTTCTTCTTGACAATATTAAGAAATTAAATCCGTAAAAGTTGAGATATTCCACTAAGGCAATTAGTTTATAGAGGAAACTCGAAAGCCCTGACTTTATGAATAGATTGCGTTCAAACCATGACATTACTCGGACACTTGGCAACTCTGTGTTTGCTCCACTACTATTGTCAGGCCGAAGACTTTGTGATGAGATGAACCCTTCAGTTAACCTGATAAAAGTGATTATAATATTAAGTTGTCCCTCTAAAGCAATTGGTTAAATGCCCCAGCTTTATGGATTCGTCTAGCCAGACAATGACAAATTAAATCAAATTTATCTAAACAAGGAGTTTTCAATAATGATGGACTAAGGGAGTTAAGGAACACCTGTTATAGTCAATTTTACACGAGCACTTAAAAATTTCATTTTTAAACCGATATTTTTGCACTGCCTTTGTTAGAGGAGTTTACGAAGCTTGAACAAATGAAAGATTTTAGAGGACCAAAATAGAAGGTCTAGTAATTGATCATGCTAGTTGCGTCATTTTGTCCGCATCCAATTAAAATGCCAAGTCAAGAAAAAAGGCATGTTGCAGTGACCGAGAAAAAATGACATTTTTTATGGTTGAAACCATAAGAATTAGGAAGCCAACCTAAAACCAACTCATCAAATTAAATATTTGTCAAAGAACTATAACTCTAAAATCATGAAAGATCTATTGATTCTTTTGATTTTCTATGAACTCAGGTTTTTGATTTGATTCGTTTGTGAACCTGAATTAAGGGGCAATGTTTTACAGAATCCTTACATTCTCATATCCTCGTAAAATAAGAGAAAAAAACATTTTCAAACAGGACATTCTCAAATGTGAAAGACTGCAACCCGAGAAGAAAATAGGGCATGGTCGATTCCGAGTACAAGACCGACAGACAAAATGAGACTCCATCCAGGAGATAAAACAGAACCAATTCATGTTGCATTCATCTTAGGCATACTTAAGAGCATCACATTTATCATTTTTCGCATACATAATTTTTGCATCTTTAGAGTCAAGTTTCAACTTCAAGACAAAAGATACTTTATTCAAAAGCTCCTTCAAAGATCAATGGTGGTTGCTTAACTCAGCAGTGAGAAGCTACACTTCCACAAACTTGACATATTGAAAAATAGAAAAATCTCATAATCAACTTCAGACGGGTTCGAGAGCTAATTCAGAACGAATCCAGTTCAGCTTAACTCAATGACGAGCGACAATTTTCCAGTTAAAAGCCAAATTTCAAACTCCACGATGGATGATATCCGACTGATAGACTACCTCACTTGTCTTTCTCACAAAGAGGAGTCACTCGAAGAACATATCACATGGCTTTCCCATAAAGGGTAGTCATCCAAAGATCATCTCACTTGGTTTAGACCCGCTAAGGGGATCCACTTGAAGAACATACCACATGGTTTTCCCGTGAAGGGGAGTCATCCAAATATCATCTCACTTGGTTCAGACTCGTTAAGGAGAACGACCTGGAGAATTATGATCGGCTTAGACCCATGAAGGGGAGTCATTTTACACTTAAAGGAACTATTGGTGGCATACTCAAGGCGAGAAGGGTTATCTGTCAACCAAGACCTTCAAGTTCGATTACACTCAGCTCAAAGGCATATCAAATTTGCAGCATAACTCAAGGCGATAGGGGTTATTTGTCAACCAAGACCTTTGAGTTCGATTACACTCAGCTCAAAGGCATATCAAATTTACAACATAACTCAAGGCGAGAAGGGTTATCTGTCAACCAAGACCTTCGAGTTCGATTACACTCAGCTCAAAGGCATATCAAATTTTACAACGTAACTTAAGCCGAGAAGGGCTATCTGCCAACAAAGACCTTCGAGTTCGATTACATTTAGCTCAAAGACATATCAAATTTACAACATAGCTTAAGTTAAGAAAATCTATCTGTCAACGAAGATTTTTGAGTTCGATTACATTCAGCTCAAAGGCATATCAAATTTACAACATAGCTCAAGGCAAGAAGGGTTATTTGTCAATAAAGACCTTCGAGTTCGATTACATTAAGCTCAGAGGCACATCAAATTTACAGCATAACTCAAGGCGAGAAGGGTTATCTGTCAATAAAGACCATCGAGTTCGATTACATTCAGCTCAGAGGCACATCAAATTTACAGCATAGCTCAAGGCGAGAAAAACTATCTGTCAACAAAAAACTATCGAGTTCGATTCCACTCAGCTCGATGACACGTCAACCACATGGTGGAGTCAAGGAACTATTTTCCAACCGAATTTTTAAAATCAAGGTCTTTAAACCGAGAAGAAGACTAAAGTTGATTACAATTTGGCAACGATAAGCCACATTCCGATTCAAATTCTGAACTACGACTTCAATTCCATATCATTTCAAGATGGGCTCAACTTCGCGACGGAGGAGCCATCCGTAACTCAATTCGAAAGGGAGTTATTCTTAATTGAAATATCAGAGTCAATTTTCAACTCCACCGAACAAAATTTTGTATCCTTTTATCTTGTCCTATTTTTGTTTCACGAAAAAGAACAAAGAGAGGCAACTGTAGACACTCATTTTCGTCCGTATTGTTTTATTTTATTTATATATATATTATAGTTTGTAAATGATTTTTGAACTATATATATATATAGTTTATGAAAGCATTTTGAAAACATATATTATATAGTTTTAAAACATTTTGGAAACATATATATAATATATAGTTTTAAAAAAATTTGAAATATATATATAATATAGTTTTTGAAAACATTTTGAAAAAGCTTATATAGTATATAGTTTTGAATATTTTTTTAAAATATATATAATATATAGTTTTAAAATATTTTTGAAAATATATATTATATAAGTTTTTGGGAACTATTTTTATATATTATTATTATTATTATATGTTATATTTTTAATTTTATTCTTAATTCTTTTATTCTTTTTTTCAGGGACCGAATGAAGGGTCCAATTCCAGAGTCCAACAGGCCCAACCGGGTAGCCTGACCCAGTAGACCCAGTTCGGCCCAAGTTCATTAGGATTTCATCTTCAAAGTCAAACGCGCAGCCGATCGAGGGTCGTTAGATGTGGCCCTTCGATCTAACGGTCCAGATTTCACCAGGGATGCCTAACGGGCGTTTTAACGGTGTCGAGATTTCCAACCAAGGAAATCGGGACTGACCCATCCCAAAATCCCTGGCCAACGACGAGTATGCTACCTTGATAATCGGAACTAACGAGCACCGATGCTGGGTATAAATACCCCACCACATATGGAACCCAGGAGGACAAGAACGAAAACACAGAACATCGAACCCATCAACATCGACCAACAAACGGCAAGAAACCGAAAGCACAGATCAGGAAACCATCACAAACACAACACACAACAAAAACCAGATTAAAACATAAACCAAAGGCCGAAGGCACACAGCAAAAAATCAAAACAAATAAGAAAAAATCAAGGCAACAACAAAGGTATCTCCAGTCGCGAGAAGAGCCAAGCACATCGGAGAAGTCGAGAAGTCACCATCGAAGGTAATAAAATATCAAAAATTTTGATTCATATCTACGCCTTCTAGGGATTTTTTTGTGAGATTTTGGGCTCAGATTTGGGTTTACGAGGTTAAGGGGAGCTCTTTGGTGAGTTTTGGTTTTTTTCCGGCTGCTGCGGTTACGATCGGAGCGGAAGACAGTGACGGCCGGTGATGGCCGACCATCCCCCCGACGAGGGGAAGTTGAGAGAGAATTCTTAATTCTCTCTCTTTGTTTCGTTGAAGAGAAGAATAAATGAATGATTTAGGGTAAATAATTGGGCTTTATATAACCCGTCGGCCCGACCCGTATTTTGACCTGACCCGACTGAGGGTCCGCGTGTTTTCGAGTTAGAAAGAGGGAATTGTTTTTTGGTCCCTCATTTTTTAAATATTTTATTTTAGTCATTTAATTCAATTTAACCCCAAATTCTTCTTAAATTAACCCTCAAATTTAATTTTATTCAATTCAGTCCTTTTATTATAATATTAGTTTCGTTTTTATTTTTTCATTTATTATTATTATTATTATTATTATTATTATTATTATTATTATTATTATTTTATTATTATTATTATTATTCTGTTTTGGTTTCTTATTATTATAGTTATTATTATTATTATTATCATCATATTTTTCTTATTTTTTTATTTTACCATTTTATTTATTTTGGTTTTTTATTTTCATTTATTTTATTATTTTTCCTTTGTTATTTTTTTGTTTTATTTATTATTTTCATATTTATACATTTCTATCTTAATTCGATCATGCACTTAATTACAAATCTAATATTTCTATTTTTTAAGGGTCTTCTTTCAATCGATCAAATATAATTATTTGAATTGAATTTTTAAATTTCAATTTAAATTTAAATTTTCGCGATTAAGACAACCGAAAAATTAATTGGTACCGAAAGGGCAATGCAAGTGTGTTAATCCTTCCTTGACTGTAACCGACTCCCGAACCCGACACATTTTTAATAAGACGCAGATCAGATAAGATGGTGTTTAATCAACCTAAATTTTGTGTTTAAAATGATCGGTGACGACTCTAACCTATTATTTTAAGTTGAAGGCCGAAATACGGTAGCAACAATTTTTTATTAATCTAAGTGTATGACATAATGTGTTCTAAGACCACGTGTAAAGGAAAGAAATGATTACTCTTTTTTAAGAAGCTCAGTCAGCAAACCCCGCATTTAAACGTGGCAGTCTCCTACTTTACCTTCCACAAACAATGATTCTTCTCCTCTTCTTTAAGCCTGCACACGTTCTTCTTCTTCTTTTTCCCGCTGTTAATTTTTTTTGCCAATATAACAACATATAAGAATTTAGAATTTTCCGACGTATTTTAAATATCTATTATTAATTTAGTTTAAAGAAAGCGTAAAACGCAGTATCTTTTGTAAATCATCTCTTATACATCATTAAAGAAAACATGTATATGCTAACTCAAAATTACAATTAAACTTAAGCATGATTAAGTCATGGGATCCATCATCATTAGCTCTCTAAACTCTTTCTCCGAAAATATTTCCCATCCGATTTCTTCAACTTTTTCTTTACTACTCTCTCCTTTTTCTCCATTGCTTTTTTCTGTATCTTCTTCCTCTTCTTCCATTTTGTAATCTGTCAATGGGAAATTGGTCTTTGCTTTATCTCTTCGGAACCTAATAGCCGCCCTATCATAAGCCCTGGCGGCAGCTTCCGCCTCATCAAACGTCCCCAGCCAGACCCGAGCCGCTCGTTTCGGGTCTCGGATCTCCGCCGCCCATTTCCCCCACGGCCTCTGCCGTACCCCCCTGTAATGCCTCGTCGGCACCCTGGCTGGTTGTAATTGTCGTTGTCGTTGGCTTGGCGGGAAAATGGTGTTGAAATACTCATAGCCGTTGATCTTCATAGGAAGAGACGCGTCGTTGACGTTATTAGAAGGAAACACTGACGTGGCGGATTGGTCGCCGTTGATTACGTTCAAGAGGGTGGAGACCATGATATCATGTTCCTGCTCGCGAGTCAACGTCAATAAGTTAGGATGGTTGGTGTTGTAATTCTGCATGGCGGTAAAGGGTGCTTTCGAAATCAAATTGCAATAATATTATATATTCTCGGTTCTACAATTCTAAAACGAAGCGAGCCAGCCGAAGTGAGGGAGCGGAAGGTAAAGACCTTATTTATATGGGCTATAAGCACCAACAGATGACAGCTGTGAGTAAGTCACGCGCACGGTTGAGACACGTGAGAGTGCTAAACTTTGCTTTTTGGATTATGGTGTGAGTGGGGTCCAGTTGTGCAACTTGATGCAATGAGCTTATAGCTTGCGTCATCTTGTTCAGACCACGCGGCTCTGCAAGAAAAATGTGCCGTGGCTTAGCTTCAGCTTGACAGCGCAGCACGGTTGTTGGAACTCTGGACTCAACCAATTTTGAAATCAAGTTGACATCTTTTTAAGATTTGTCCAAACCAATTTTCATTTTCCTATATCCAAATAATTCTAGAATTCACACTTCCATTACACTAATAATTTTTTTAAATAATTTCATATAATTATTTCAATTTATATTAAACATAATTGAATTTTTTTTGTTTACAAAAGGGATTTTGTCGCTTAGCCAAACTCAGGTTCTTCTTGGGAGGAATCGTGTATTGCTTGAAATATTAAACAAATAGTTTGAATACTTATTAGGTATTGTATTAAAATTTAATAAACATTAGATAGAAAATATGCAGTTTACTAATTTTTAATATATAAATTTAACAGGTTAAATATCTAGACGTGATTAGATACTATAAAACAACAAGGGTAGAAATAATTGACGACATCTGATCAAAAGACAAAAAATAGCTTTTTTGTTTTGAATTCAATCTTTGGTAATGAATCCTCGTTTTCGTACATAGATTAGATGGCTTGTTTATTGTTCATACGCTGGTGCCTGCTGTCATTTTTCTCCGGCCAAAACATTATCCGAATATGGAAACTACGGTTCTTTAGCCACCGTCCACTTTTTGCCCCACACCTGCTCTGTTCATTGAATTTATGCAACCATTTGCCGCTGTCCCTTTTCACCTTGCCATTTCACTGGAATGGGTCCTTCTGACTTGGCTAGTTGACCCCTAAAATTGCAATTGATTTGGTTCGAGGATGTCGGTCCTTTATTAACATCCCCATCATGGTTTTAAAATCTAAAATTATTAGTTCACATACTGGAGCTTAAGTTGGAATTGCCTCCGACGTTCTGAGTTGCTCATCACATTAAATTTAAAATTTAGGTTTCAAAGTTTTAATGTATGTCTTTTAAAAAATATTAAGTATATAATTTTTTTTGATAAAATGCATTTCTTATATCTAATGAGAATTGAAATACAAACCGGACCAAATCCGGTGGTATCTACTAAAAATAAAATACTCAAGAACAAACACCCCAAGTAACATACACTTGGGAATCCCACCTATCTTTTCAAATGCTATTAATCTGCACAACCTCGTAACAGAGCAAAGAATATCCTATACTGTTCTTCCTACACAAATTATATGAACGCATTCCACTCGAATTTAAAAGTCATGGCATACAAAAACTTACCCCTCGTATGTGCACACGCCCATTACACCTTCAGATCCCACCCCAGCACATGTCGATTAATCCCACACTAAACAAGGATCGCACTCCAAACATACACCGATAAAGGACAGCCAAAGAATAACTGCGAATGAGACTCGACCTCCCTCCCGCACAACACACACTCACGTGATACTGAAACCCCTATACGCAACAACCAGTCACGAGGAGGTAGCCTATGCAATAATGTCATCCACGCTATGATTGCATGCGTCGACACATGCAATAATATCACTTTGGCCCCCTCATCCTAATCTCATTCCAAACCTCACGTGCTTGTCATCGTATAATATCCGCCAGGGGTGTCATAAAACCTTACGAGCTCTGTACGTAGCCATGGGATAGAGGCATCTGAACCGGCTACGGTGGCATCTGAACCGGCAAACTAAGGATGTAAACAGGTGTCGATGGTTGTTGGAGTGATGGTTCCAGTGGCATAGCTGAGGATGACCCGAATGCGCCTACTCTTCGTCCACAAGTGGGGGGACAATGATGTTGTGATGTTGGCGTCTTTCACGAAAACAATGAATTGCCCCTCTTCATGCTCCCTCTGAAAGTAAGAATAACTTTCCATTTGCATTGAAACCACGATAACAGTTTCTAACATATACTCTCGAGGGAACAAGCGTTGATGTCGGTTCCCCCACATCGTTAACCAATCTCTATACTTCACCAACCAATTAACATCTTTTTTGTCTCGTCTATCGATGTTATGCATATTGTCGAGATTTATTAGTGTTTCAGGAATATATTGTGTGAAATCAAACTGACGAAGCACACGGACAGTTGGATGCCATTCAACAATAGCGTAACAAATAAGAGGCACAACCACCACCCATACATCCAATTGTCCACTCAAGTCAGGTGGGATGCAAGCCCTCATTTCGTCGTTCAATTATGTCAACCATTTGAACTAAAACAAAAATATATATTTCTTATCAAAATTAAAATGAGATTCAAATTATATAAAGACAATTAAATAAAAAAATTAAAATTAAAAAACATACCTTTACACCAGCTTTCTTGTCAATGAGTAATCAGATATCTTGTAATTCTTGTGAGATATCACGATTATCTTTTCTAGTTGTTGACCACCTATTTAATATATATATCATTCTATAATAATCAAAAACATTACTTAAAAATAAATTTAGTAATGAAATTATCTTGATAGTAATGGAAAGACAAATGATTGATTCACGATCGGACAAAAAAAGCATGTGATACAATGCCCACGATTGGAGAAGCATAATACAACCTCCAATAGCAGTTTTACTATATTTTGTGGCCCGACACATTTCTCTAAACAAAAATGTCAACACTACAGAGCCCTAACTCAACGTGCCATCTACTTGAAAATCGATGAGTTACTGCAACCACATACAATGGACCTGGTTCTGAGACTTGTCGGGCATCGATATCCCTCCAATGATTTGTAATATGTATGCTCGAGAAAATGCTTCTGTCTCATCCTCGAAACAATTTTCACGCAACTCTTTAAAAAAATTGCAATCATCCTAACGATATTTAACCACCATTGAAATCTATCGGGGTAGTTCCAAGATACTCCCTGCACAGAGTCTCCTAATCGTCATTCGCCACACCACAAATAGAAGTTCCATCTATCGGGAGCCCTAACAACATTGAAACATCCTCCAGGATAATGATGCACTACCCACATGGCAGATAGAATGTGTGTCTCTGGCCTCCACCTCTCGATTAGTGGAGAAATAAGGGTGAGTTCAAGTTTACAACCTCCTTCAATTTTTGCTAAGTAACAAAATCTAACCATATATAAATATTTCCAGATACACATCGATGTTTTCATCTTGTTGTTATGAATAAAAACTTCTAATATTATATCAGTTTCTTAATAAATAAATTCTAACCATTAAAATTTGAACTAATATTTCAAAAATTATTTAAATAAATTCTAATAAATAAATTCTATCAATTTAAATAATATATGATTGATTTCCTAATATTAAAAAATTTAAAAAGAATATAGTTTTGCATTATTACTGTATTGACAAAATGACTCGAAATATGATCAGCATGCAATCGCAACATCCCGCCTTCCAATTTTTTCAACTGCATATAATAAATATAAACTAAATAAGTTTACAATTAAATAATCAAATAATAAAAAATAAGTAGTAAAAGAATAATAAATTTATTGAATAAAAGAAGTAACAATATGCCATAAAAGATTAGAAAGTAATAGATAGGAAAATGAAATTTGGATGTGGTTTGTATGAGGTGTGAAGGGGTTTTATATAAGGAAGGGAAGGGGAGGGGGGGAATAGACTGGAAAGGGCAACAGGAAAAAAGAGAAAGGCGTGTCCCAGGAGATGTGCCTTCCAAAACCCCGGTACAGAGCGCCCCACCAAATGTGCCTTCCACATGGAGTGTTGACTAGACGCTGACTCGGCGTAGGTGCTTCCCATCAAACACGCCTTAAGGCAATGCAAGCTTAGACGGTTTCACTAAAACGCCTTATCTTTTCTCTCTTCAAAAAAGTGTTAGATCGGGAATATTTGGTCAAAGAGTGTCTGACATGGGTTTATTTAATATTATGGTGATTATTTATTTATTTTGGTAAAAACGCCTATTCCCCAGTCCTCCTTTTTCTTTCTTTTATTTTTGAATCCGTTAAAGCAAAGCTATCATTCAGAGACTTACCGTTGAATCCACTCTTATCAGAAGCATATGCCCTTTTTAGCCCACAAATATTCACACCCTGCCCTCTCCATTGGTTCACAAGAGCAATTCTTTGCTTTAATTCAAATGTGCATCGATAAAAAATACATGCGCCTAAGAATTTAGGGTTAGGGTTTGTTTTGAATTTTATCATTGGTTCAAGGAAACACTAGGGTAAGCCTATGGTCAGGTTGGGTCCTGATTATTTGTAGGCTCGGGGCGAAAATAAAAAATGGGCCCCTTGTAACAACCCGAATATTTACAAAATAATATTTAATTGAAATTGGGTGTTAATTGTGAAAATTGGCAAAAATTGGGCACTAAATTAAAAGATTTTAAAATTTGGAGCTTGTTTTAGAGTTAAAAAAAATAGGGATCAAACCCTAAATTTACCCAAAATAATTAGGTAAGTTTGGGTATATATGTGGTATCGTGGTTTTCTGTTTTAAACAGAAAACCACGCCCAAATTCCCTTCCCCTACGTCGGTTTCCGACCTCGATTTCGGCGACGTCCGAATTCCGATCATCGTTTTAAAACCACCGTTGTGTTCATCTTCAAGCAAGGAACAAACCCTTCAATTTAATTGAAGCGAAACGCTGCCAAACATCGGGAATTTACAGTCAAAGTCTCGACATTATTTTTAGCTCCATCGCCGAGAAAATCTCAAATTCACCGCCGATCGTTGCTCCGTTTACGACACCTCCTGCACCATCGTGTTCCTTGTGCTGTTTTGAGTCCATC